TTTTTTTGTGCACGGTGGGGGGGGGGGGGAATCAGAGACCAGCATACTCCGCCCAGATTGGAAAACGGAACTGGGCTCTGTGAAAGTCAAGCTGAGACTCCATCAATGCTCACGAGTATTTGCTGACAAACACAGACAGAAAAAGCAGAGGTACAGCCACACTTCCATGTTTTGGACAGACTGAACATTATGAGTAGCCAAGCAGCACTTTCCCAGCATCAACGGAACTGGGCTCTGTGAAAGTCAAGCTGAGACTCCATCAATGCTCACGAGTATTTGCTGACAAACACAGACAGAAAAAGCAGAGGTACAGCCACACTTCCATGTTTTGGACAGACTGAACATTATGAGTAGCCAAGCAGCACTTTCCCAGCATCAGAGACTCTCTTAACAGGTTCATCCTGGGGCACCTCTGGAAACCCCACTGAGGAGCTCTGGGACAGATTCACCTCACCTCAGTTAAAATGGGACGAAACAAAGGAAAGGACACAGCAGCACATATTCACAACAAGGGGGGAAAAATGGACACAGTGCCTAGCATGAGGAACGCAGGAGCACCTCAACATTCTCCTCTCTGCTGACAAGCTGAGCAGAGCAGTGTGGCTGAGAGCCACACAGCCCAGTGCTGCCCACAGCCCAGCTTCAGCCATGGGCCCCTACAACAGGGGAAGTTCCCCAGGCACAATGCACTGTGTGGGAGCCCTTCAAAATAAGGACCTGAGGGCGTCATTCACCAGGAGAAGGCAACAAAACCTCCGACAGAACCCTCTTCCACACATTAACATTGCTGACTGCAGGTAGGCCACGTGCAGCACTTCTGCCTGAAACAATATCGTGTTTCAACCCTTGGGCAGGTAGGCAGAACCCTGTGCTGCACAGCAAAATACAGCCCACCAGAAACAAGTGTGCAAGCAACTGTGACTTACTTGTATACAGCCTTATGGACACCCCTTCTCCTTCCGTCTCACCATCAGCCGCTACTGCAAATACTGTGAAATTGTACATCGCTCCAGGGATTAACTCAGTAATTTCGACTTTGGTAACATCGGACATCAGGTTCCTAATAGAGGTACTGCTTACAACCTCTATCCTGTACGTGTAGGAGTTGGAAGCAGAGTCATTCACCGCCCATGTTAAGTTGACAGAAGTCACGCCAACATATTCCACCTTGAGATCATGGATTGGGCTGGGCTCTGTGAAAGGCAAGACAACAATCTGTCAACCTGCAAGAACATCTGCTCAAACATTGACAGAAGAAACACAGGCACACCACTACTTCACTCTCTTCACATCACTCGTCATTTAGAGCCCAGGAGCACCCCAACAACATCACCAGGTGCTCCTGGAGGCTTTTGCATCAATGGGCAGCTAAGAGAGAACTGAAGAAAAGTCATCTTGAGTGGGATTCGTCTCCCTTTGACACTCCAAAGCAGAATCACAGGTCACCACTGTGCCAGCACTCCCAGGATTTTGCTTGGGAATTCAGTGACATGGTCAAGAAAGATACAAGGTTGCAGGAGAAGGTGGGGGAAGAAGATGGTGGTGTATCTGTGCACAGCAAAAGGTAAGGAACATCAAATATCACTGGAAGAGGAACAGAGGTGATGATCCAGGCACACTGCTCCTTCGCCACCTTTCATGCCCTGAACTCAATCCTGAGCTAGCGCTGCTGAAAGCTCACTCTCCTGCTGCAGCCCAATGGCAGCCACAGGCCCCTAAATCACGGAAGTTCCCTGGGCACAACACACACTCTCTGTATGGGAGCCCTTTAAAATAACAGTCTGAGGCCCCCATCCTCCAAGAAGTAAAGGCAGCAAAACTGCCCACACAAATCCCAGGCCAGGGAGGCAGGTTCTCGGGGGGAGTTCCTTCATTGTGTCACAGGCCTCGGTGACCACCTTCAACAACAGCTGTTTTTTAGGGGTTTTCTTTTACTTTGTTTTTAAGGTGGCAGCTATGTCCCTTCCATGCAAGCATCTCTGACTGCAAGCAGGCAAAGCACAGCACCTCTACCTGCAACAGTACTAAAATTCAACCCTCAGGCAGGTAGGCAGAGCCCTGTGCTGCACAGCAAAATACAGCCCACCAGAAACAAGTGTGCAAGCAACTGTGACTTACTTGTATACAGCCTTATGGACACCCCTCCCCCTCCCGTCTCACCATCAGCCGCTACTGCAAATACTGTGAAATTGTACATCGCTCCAGGGATTAACTCAGTAATTTCAACTTTGGCAACATCGGACATCAGGTTCCTAATAGAGGTACTGCTTACAACCTCTATCCTGTACGTGTAGGAGTTGGAAGCAGTGTTGTTCACCACCCACGTTAAATTGACAGAAGTCATGCCAACATATTCTGCCTTGAGATTAAGAACTGGTCTGGGCTCTGTGAAAAGCAAGACAACAATCTGTCAAGACAGAGAAATAAAGAAAGAAGAGCCACAGCCACATTTCCCTATTCCACATAGAATGAGCATTATTTGTAGCCAAGCAGCACTTCTACGGTATCAATACCCAGTTTCAGACATTCATGCTGGGGCATCTCTGGAAAGTCCACAAGAGTTCTGGGGGATGTTCTCTTTATTTCATTTCACATGCTACACTTATTTGTTTCCACAGTGGGTTTCCAGATGGAGAAATAGATGGGCAACAAAGCTGGTGAAGGGTCTGGAGAACAAGTCTTATGAGGAGCGGCTGAGGAAACTGGGGTTGTTTAGCCTGGAGAAGAGGAGGCTGAGGGGAGACCTCATCGCTCTCTACAACTACCTGAAAGGAGGTTGTAGCGAGGTGGGTGTCGGTCTCTTCTCCCAAGTAAGAAGTGACAGGACAAGAGGAAACAGCCTCAAGTTGCACCAGGGGAGGTTTAGATTGGACATGAGGAAAAATTTCTTCACTGAAAGGGTTATCAGGCACTGGAACAGGCTGCCCAGGGAAGTGGTTGAGTCACCAACCCTGGAAGTATTTAAAAGACGTGTAGACATGGCACTTAGGGACATGGTTTAGTGGTGGACTTGGCAGTGCTAGGTTAATGGTTGGACCTGATGATCTTAAAGGTCTTTTCCAACCCAAATGATTCTATGATTCTACGAAATCAGGGAAGGAAGCATAGTGCAGGGTGAGCTTAGTCTGTTAACTGAAAATTGCACCTGCGAGTCTTAATCTGAGCTCTTCAGCCCAGCCTCTCCCCAACATCAGCAGAAGGAAATGGGCTCCCTGAGCAGGTCCAACAGCTGACCCACCCTGGGGCCTGTCTCTGCAAGCCTGATTCAGCATCAACACTAGGCAGACAAGACTCACCTCAGGCATCTTAGACAAGCTCATCTATTCAGTAGCAGCTCCAGGACACACTGCTTCTAATTGCTTTGTAGGGATGTTGCCTGTTCCCTTTCCACTCCTGAGCTAGACACAAAAAAAAAAGATCTTCTCCTCCCATCTGTCCTTCTGATCTGGGAAAAGGTGCTATGGCACAAAGCTGACAAAAATGGCACCAATGGCACTACACTTGACAATGTGGCCCTAGGCACTGTCACATCCTACAGAAGTCCCAGGCCAGGGACTCTGCAAAGAGCTCAAAACAATCTTCAAGAACAAAAAGCCTCTGTGATCCTGGCCACCACATCCCTGCACACCATGTCTTTTGGTATAAACAGTGATAACCTGCTCCCAGAAGCACTGTAGGTGGCCCATTCAGCCCTCAAGTCTAGAGAAAGTCATGCTGTTGTAGCAGCTGGATCTCTACACAGTCTTGTGCAGCCAAGCTGATGAAATAACTGCTTTACAAGCAATGCATGCACACACACAGACACATACAATCTCAGTCCTTTTCCCTTTTACCAAAGACCACTTGGCACTCATGCTCACAGGCACCTGGAGCAAAGCAACACTACAATGAGAAACAGTACAAAGTTGGAAACCCAAGGTAAAAAACAGGGCAATTTGGTACAAACTGCATGTTTACTTGCAATTGAGAGGCACCATTTCCTTACTTGTATACAGCCTTATGGACACCCCTTCTCCTTCCGTCTCACCATCAGCCGCTACTGCAAATACTGTGAAATTGTACATCGCTCCAGGGATTAACTCTGTAATTTCAACTTTGGTAACATCGGACGTCAGGTTCCTAAGAGAGGTATCATTTACAACCTCTATCCTGTACGTGTAGGAGTTGGAAGCAGAGTCATTCACCGCCCACGTTAAGTTGACAGAAGTCACGCCAACATATTCCACCTTGAGATCATGGATTGGGCTGGGCTCTGTGAAAGGCAAGACAACAATCTGTCAACCTGCAAGAACATCTGCTCACAAACATTGACAGAAGAAACACAGGCACACCACTACTTCACTCTCTTCACATCACTCGTCATTTAGAGCCCAGGAGCACCCCAACAACATCACCAGGTGCTCCTGGAGGCTTTTGCATCAATGGGCAGCTAAGAGAGAACTGAAGAAAAGTCATCTTGAGTGGGATTCGTCTCCCTTTGACACTCCAAAGCAGAATCACAGGTCACCACTGTGCCAGCACTCCCAGGGCTTCCCTTGGGAATCTAGAGAGGTGGG